GCCCGTGCGTGCGTGCGTGCGTGTTTGTTTGTGTCTCTGTGCGGATTTCGTTGTCTGTATCCATCGCACAAAACTATGTTTATTCAGCCAACGCCACCTCAAAAACCCTTGCATGCACATACTTGTGGTGTTTGATGTTTGTCAGAGTGCTTTTTGCATTTCTCAACAGCAAGCAGCCCCAAGCAACTGGAGCCTGGTCAGGATGATGGGGGAGTCATATCCTATTCATCAATCGTCATGGCTTATCTGCATTCCTTTCATTTGCTTAAGAATATGTCTTATTTTTCCATGTTGGTTATCAAGGGAATCTATCAGTACTGGAAAGATGTTTATTTGTTCCAGGGGTCTTAACCAGGTGGAAGATTCCACTGGCAAGCTTTGGATCGGACCTGCGCGAAGTGAAGCTTCGGGTAGCTGGATTCCTGGCGACCTCAGCGCCTAAAAGCGGCGTGATCGCTGCAATACTGTTGACCAAGGTTCAAAAGATGCCACGGGTGAATGAACTCCAGCATTCAATAGGGATGCTGGAACTCAGCTAAATCGGAGTGATTGCCCAGCCGTCCCAGGTCCCTTAGCTTTTTTGCTCTTTAGCCATTTAACCCACTAAAAGTTACAAACTTTTAGCGGGGAATCTGAGGACAGCCGAGCGAAAACCCTACCTGTCCACTGAACCCCACCGCTCGCTTGAGCTGAGGAGCTGAGCCACAAGAAGCTCCTGAAGGACTGACTTCTTCTTTTTTGCCACGCGGGAAGATTATTATTATGATTATTTTCAACTGTGGGTTTTAAAAGGGAATCTATCACTACTGTTTTTAAATATATATATATATATATGCTCACCCCCCCCCCCATGATCCACATTTGGCATTGCTGCAGTGTATGGTCTCAGCTTTGGCTCCTTAATTTGAATGGCTGAAGTACTCTTAGCCCGTCTCCCAATGGAGGCTGTTAAAATAATAACAGCCATGGCAACGAGCGCCACGCCGAGCCCTATCGCTCCATCCAGATGGCCTACAAAAGTAGGTTATCTACCATGTGGCTACTTGGCCGATTTCATCGAGTCGAAAACTGCAGTTTCTTATGGGGTCCTTCTGCTGTCATTTCTGCTCTTGCCCATCTAAGGATCGGAAGTGTTCAGCTTCGAAGGCTTGCACTTCAAGATCAGCGCGAGCGAGGAGACCGTCCTCCAAGAGAATGAACTTGGCTTGATTATGAGTGAGAGGCATTTGCCATAGTTTTTTATGGGACAGTCCTTAGGACTGCTTTTACTCTCTCAGTTTTCCAAGCCGCAAGGAAAAAAAGCCTGCTGACCATGTACGCCTGAGTCTGCTTGCATATCAAGCTCATTAAGTTTCCTTGTGCTATACTGCATCCATTGCAAAGCTGGGCAACTTTCTGATATTCCAACCCCATGATCCACATTTGGTATGGCTGCAGTGTGTGGTCTCAGCTCTGGCTCCTTAGTTTGACCCCGCAGTGTGTAACTAATGGCTGAAGTACTATTAGCCCAACTCCCAATGGAGGCTATTAACATACTGCTTGCATCTCAAGCTCATCAAATTTCCGTGTACTCTGCTGCAGCCATTTCAATTTGAGGTAACTTCCTGATACTCCCTTCTGCTCCAATCATGGCATCTGTGCCTCCTCATCGTGCTGAGTCGCTGGCTCGTTCCTTCGACAACGCAAACCTGGACGGCAACTGCACATTGGAGGAAGCCATCGCCCACACCGACGGCATGAAGATCCTTTACCTGGAGAAGCCAATGGTGGTGAACAAGGAGCCCGGTTCCATTAAGCTAGGCGATTTGCCAGCTAAAATGGAAATCACCGACCCCAGATCATCGACCGGTTCTGGAACACCCTTCGATCTCACCTGAAACACACGAATAGAATCCCCGGCAGTCAGGTTCTCTTGCGAAAGCTGAGATCCGCACAGTTTGAATACTGGCATCGCCGCGCTAATATGTGGGAGGTGACCGGCCAGATGCTGCAGGCACTGCACAAGCAGTGATTACCGGATATGCGCTCGAAGGAAAAAGGCAAGAAAAATGCAAGCCAGCTCGTCGGAGTGACAAACATCTGCTACTGCCTTCCCACATCCACAATTTTAAAAAACAGTACAGCACTTTCTGCATGCTTAAAAGTGCTGTACTGTCCCTAAAATGCAGGCCTTGGAGGCAGAAAGTGCTGTACTGTCCCTAAAAAAACCTAAAAAACCATTCCAGAAACAGTCTTGAGCACAAACCTCCTTCTGGCAAGGATTTTTTGGTTTTTTAGGGACAGTACAGCACTTTTTTGGTTTTTTAGGGACAGTGCAGCACTTTTGAGCATCAGCATGCAGAAAGTGCTGTACTGTCCCTAAAATCCAGGCTTTGGAGGCTGAAAGTGCTGTACTGTCCCTAAAAAACCTAAAAAACATTCCAAAAACAGTCTTGGGCACACAAACCTCCTTCTGGCAAGGATTTTTTGGTTTTTTAGGGACAGTACAGCTGATGCTCAA